CGAGATCGTGTTTTTGCTAGTTGAAAACTACCAAATTGACTGCTTCAAGTGGGCCTTCGGGAACCTTGGGAATTTTTGAAATAACACTGCCTCAACTCCTTGACTCTTCGTCTTCGAGTTTGAACTTAATTGTTCATGACTTCAAGAAGTCACCCTCGAGTATCTTCGAAGTCTTTTCACTACTTGTTACCTATACTGGTGGCCCTTAGAGAAGAGATCTTATTATTACATAGCCCCTAGATTTTCCGGTGAAAGTTTTTCAAAAACATTCATGTGGCGTCTTGATTACTGTTGTCCTGGTGTCTCGCGTCAGAGGCAAACCCCCTTGTAAACCCACTATTCCCCGTTCTAGCCTCTAGTCTCCAAGAGCTGTTCCTATGGTCAGTCCAGTTCGTCCTTGGAATTTCTGGAATTTCTTGCTGCTGGAGGAACTGTCTCCGGCTATGCTGTCAGTTTGTGGTTGGATAGTGGATAGTCGCCGTCTGCTTCTCGCCACCTGTACTTTCCCTTGAGGATCGCTGACTCTCAGCACTGCCCAAGTCATATAATCTGAGCTGGAGAATGTTTCAGGGGTCTAATAATGGTGGCACGCAACGCCTTGAGGGTGTATTGACAGTGGTTGGGTTGGCACTGAAGGTGGTCCAAGGCCTGCCGAGGGAAATCTTGGACATGGATCCCGTACTTGGAGTGACAGTAGACTGGTCAAAGACGAAGCCACTAGCAGTTGTGGCTGTAGTTCGCTTATCAGCTGTGATGTTGATGTCGTCCTGGTTAGGAGAAGGCCCAGTGTCTTCGACGCTCACATTCCGAGCTGGTCCACACTCTCGATTTATTTCAATCGATCTGTTCCAGAGAACACCCTCGATTGGAGCATCATACATCCCCAGGACCCAATCAGTGATTACGAATGACTGGATTTATATGACAACCATTCGCTTTGCCACGATTCACGGTGTCTGCAATCGTCTCCCTGGCACGCCCTCGCCATGTGATACTGGATGAATAACCGAGATTCAGCGGGACTCACTTCAACATGCATGGCTCTGATGCGAGATGTATGTGGGATCGGATCTCCAGGCCAAAGGCCCGCACATTCAATGTCGTAAACTCGCTGTAGCGCGAAGGCTATCAAACTTGTTGACCAGATTCCTTCTTGTCGGCGGGAACGGCCGAGGAGGGAGAGCGTCTCTTGTCGAACAATCGGGTCGCGACATTTGAGAGCGAGAAGACACAGGGGTGGGATGACCCCCAAGTTGACCGAGAATGTGGGTGTATCGATGTTGTCGCACATTAAGACCGATTCGGCAAGCTGAAAGACCCTCTGGAAGTGCTTCAAGAACTTGTCATATTGCATCTCTCTTGGACCTGGCCCAATCTCAACCATCGCTAGAATAGGAAGAAGTTCGGCCCACAGTTCAAGGATGGTTAATGCAGTCAGGTCTCGTTGAACTAAATGATGTTTATGAATACCTCGGTATGCTTGTAGCTGGCCTTGAAGCTTTAGAAGACTTCCCACGAAATCAGCTCCGTCTAATTCGGCTCCCGGGCTACCCAATCGGGTTCTGTGATAATTGTTTTGATATGAAAGTAACCGCACCAGCGTGACAATTGAATCATTGGCTCTCTGTATTTCGTCGGTGGCATCTGGCTGCGGTGGAATCAACAGAGGGATCGGCGGCTGGTCACCAGTGAGGGCCCCATTGCTATTGAAGGAGGACCAGACCATATGAACATTGGCAAAGGCCCTAGTGAGCGTCGCAGCGACATCACTGTTGTTATTTCCCGCTAAGTATTCTTCCAACAGTTTATAACCAGAGCGGAGATGTGTACCGGCTGAGACAGCATCTTCTTGGAAAAGTAGTGTTGAGACCAGCACGACACAAGCGACCAAGACAGTTTCGACTCGTGGACGGGCCATTCTCTCTTCAATTAGATTGCGTTGTAAAGCATGAATCGCTTTATTGATTTGTCGCAGAGAAAATGTCTGATCGTAGGGGCTAGGACCATCCCTTGATCGGACGAAGTGATAATTCATAGAACCCATCCCAATGACAGCATGCCGGATGGCGGGTTGGTCTTCGCTGGCCTGGTGAACCAATCGTTGCCAGAATTCATCGTAGAAGTAGCCTGCGCATTGCAATGAGGTACTCTGTCGAAAAAAGTCCAGGAAATATCGTTCCTGGTTGGTGAGGTCCACTTGGTGCGTGGGCACCTGGCAAACTAACGCTACTGCGCCTTCAGGCCTCACATCCTTAGCCAGACGCGAGGCCCGAGTTCGACGGTCGACGGTCACACGGTACTCGCATTTTCGGTTGTAGCTGGTACAAACTAGACATACTGGGCGGCCTTCATCACATTTCTTGTGAAATTGTCTAATATTGAGCTGTCAGTGACCCCGCACTTGGACGATCAGGGGGCTGTTAGGCAGGGGCCATCGGGGCCATACTTGCAAGTCATGCAACCGGTACGCACTTTGGGCCGACTGGCACGTGTTTTCCTTGTCTTCTCATATGGACTGTAGAAGGCCTGAGCCATGGCGATGGAAGTCAAAACAAGCAAGGAAAAGGCTCAAGAGGATGATCACCAACGCCCGGGTGTCAAATGGCGATTATGTAAGGCTCAGTCGTTCAATTCAGCTACCTACATATGTACCTACATATGTAGGTATGTAGAGAAGAGAAGAGAAGAGACCAAAGGTCAGCATACACCGTTACGGTTCCTCATTTGTCTAGCAGGTGGAATTGAGTGTGCGTCAGGAGCTGACTTTTTTCCATACTGTCTAGGTTGGATTTTTCGTGAGAGGTACCGGCCGAAGAGGATTGGATGCCAAACCAATCGATAACGTTCGGCTGTTCATCCATGATGTCCTCCGGCTCGTCCATCCAGCGCTTCTTCGAAGCCGTGTGCTCCTGAGCAGCCCTCTGGGAGGCCGATGTACCTGGAAACATCTCACGATAATATGGAGCTTCAACGGTACATGTTTCACAATATTGCTCTGTTCTAATGATGAATAGTAACACAAGATGAAATACGAGATCAGGGCAAAATGACTAGATACTCTGCCCATTGCAATTGGAACCATTTACTCCGTAGATGGGGCTATATACACTGCGTCACGTGATCCCCGCCACCAGCCACAACTGTGCCACAGTAAATTATTAAATCCACAACGGATTCGCCTCTGAAAGAAATCCAGAAATTCAGCAGCCGTAATAGCACCATCACTTACACCATGTCTCCAACCGGGAAGTGAGTATATGCAGTTACAGTCCCACAAGAAACACCGGCCTAATAAAACTTTCTATTTTACAGCCGCGCCGACTGGGCCGACGACGAAGATTTCGATGACCCCTCCGTGCTCCCGCCGCAAGAAGTGATCGCGAACAAGGACGGCACCAAGACCGTCATCTCCTACCGTTACAATGATGACAACAAGAAAGTGAAGGTCACCCGCCGAATTAAGACTACTGTTGTCCGCGAACACGTCAACCCCCAAGTCGCCGAACGCCGCAAATGGGACAAGTTCGGTCTCGAGAAGGGTCACGCCGCCGGTCCCTCGTTCGACACCACCTCCGTCGGCGAGAACATCATCTTCCGCCCGAGCGTCAACTGGAAGGCTAATGCTAAGGAGGCTGAGAAGGAGGGTGGCGAGAAGGGCAGCATGAAGGACCAGTTGAAGGACAAGAAGGTCAAGTGTCGTATTTGCAGTGGAGAGCATTTCACGGCTCGCTGTCCCTTCAAGGACACCATGGCTCCCGTCGAGGAGGGCACTGCTGCTGCTCCTGGTGTCGAGGCAGAGGAGGATGCGGGTGGTCTCGGTGCTGGAAAGTCCAGCTACGTTCCTCCTCACATGCGGAAGGGCGGTGCTGCTGGTGGCGAGAAGATGGGTGGTCGCTTCGAGAAGGACGATTTGGCGACTCTGAGGGTTACAAACGTATGTTCTGCCATTGTTCTGCTTCCTACGAGCTCTACGAGCATCATAGTCGTTTATCTTGGTTCGGTACTGACTTCTTTTCCGTCGCAAACAGGTCAGCGAGTTGGCAGAGGAGAACGAGTTGCGGGATCTCTTCGAGCGTTTCGGTCGTGTCACCAGAGTCTTCCTTGCACGGGATCGGGAAACCCAGAGAGCCAAGGGCTTTGCTTTCATCAGCTATGCGGATCGTGGCGACGCAGCACTTGCTTGCGAGAAGGTGGATGGCTGTATGTCTTCAATATTCCGTTTCTTGGTCTTCTCTCTACAAGTTCCTCGAGTGCTAACGTGGTTTTCTGCTAGTCGGTTACCGCCACCTTATTCTCCGCGTCGAGTTCGCCAAGCGCACTACTTAAACTTCTTTCTCGGTTCTCTCTTACGACTTTTTGAATGGAACGTTTCCTTCTTCTCAGGCGGGCCTATCTTTGGGCTGAAGCTCTTTTCCTTGTACTGTAGGACCTGGTTGATAATGATGATTCCCAAAAAGACATCCAGCATGTCAGTTACTTGCATTCGTCAGTCTATACAAAAGCAATGGGTTAGAGAAATTTTGAATTTCATATGTGGTTTTCTTGGTTGCTTCACGGTTGTGCCCTTGTCCACGGTAGCAAGGTTTTTTGATCCTTCAAGGTTCTTCTCGAAGCACTTGTTCTATAATTGCTTGACGGTTACCATGATTTCCCAAGTACCCATGGGAAATCAACCACCTGCTTGTACCTAGGGATGACGTCCTAGAGACAACTGGGCAGCATCCATGGACAAGTCTGCTATAGTTCACCACCTGTATTTCGGTTGCTCTTCGACGTGCGGATCAGCTTCGGGATGAAGATCATCGTTAGATTGGGACTACGTTTTGACGTCCACCAGGCATGACAGTGCGTAATTTTCCCTGGTAAAAGTCTCAAATTGCCTCAAGCTGCTAATGTGGTAGCAGTGGATGCCAACCCATAGGCGCCAAGGCCAGTCTGTTTTTGCAAGCTTTCGCCCGCTGCTGACTTCAGGCTTGGCAAATTTCCATGTCTTTTCACCCTCCTAGCCAACACGAATCTAGCGCCTAGGGGCGCGACTCAGCTGACAATCATCCTGCACGCCGTTGACGGCGAAACAGTCATCTGGAAGATAAATGTCACAGGCCTCGACTGTTCGATTATTCGAAGGCTCCAGGGATTGCATTGAGAGATCAAATTTTCTGCATCTCCGCTGTCATGCGGAGATGACATCGGAAGGAAATGGGGCTCAGACAACCTGTGCTTTTTCCTATTGTACTCTAGCTTGACACTACTGCGTAGTGGCTAGGCCCCGGGTGCCAGATCCCAGGGTCAATCACCAAAGTACCAATGTACAGATCGACATTGGATCTCAGCGAGTCAAACCCAGACCCAGCCTCGCCGGCAAAAGTTGTCGTTAAATTTCCCGGTAACGGGATTGGGTTGCATAACGTAGCATCGGTGTTTCTTTTAGGAAAGAGACTTGAGTCGGCGGGAAAAGCTTACCTACGGGTCCGGCTTTTCGCCGAATGCTCCCCTAGACAAGACGGGCTAGTGGACAGTGGCGGAGGGGCCGAGATGTTGTTCCCTGTAGGCTTGGTCCTAGCTCCCTCGGAAACGCTCACCAGCCCACTGTATTCTAGAATTCCCACTCCGCCACGGCGGCAATCCAGTATGACAACCAAACACATGTGAAAGGGCGTTCGTGACGTTCCGAAGTCTTAGTGACATTGCAGGGAATGTCGGCGCCAAACAATATGATCCACTTGTTATTGGCTCGAGGAGTTTGACCAGAAGGGCAGTTCTTCACTGGGAGCGTTTCGGCCGATGAGCAAGTTTTTTCTTGGCTGTTCCTCCGTGCTACACCGGTACGGCTTAGGGTTGGCTGAGCTACTCCTAGGGTGGTTGTCAAGGGCTGGTAAGAATTGCCACGGGGAGGCAAAAAACGGCCGGATGAGTTGCTGGATGATGAGTGGGGTCTTCAAGTCTGCATCCAACGCCATCCAAAGCATATTCCTCGCCTTACGAGCTTGATATCCAGAATTTTGGAGGGCGGCAAGCCAATGAGGCATCTGTCTTCTTATTGTAATCCTTGTCTGGTTGATGCCTGTTCTTTCCATCCATGCCGGCAGGGTCGGATACTTCAGACCTGGAACTTTTTTTGCCGGGAGCTTCGTGGTCGTGATACGATCTGTGTTGGCGGGCTGTAGATCCAGGGTGATCAAAGTTTGGGATGACAGGGTGGGGAAACTGCCAATGGTCATCCCAGTCTCGGCGCAGACTCTTGTCTTCGCTGACAAGGAAGTCGAAACATGGTGAAATGATCTTGCAATTTCCCACAAGGCATCTAGCCCATTGCAGTATACCAGTACTCAGGTCTACTCTCGCTAAAAGTAGCCATCAATCTCGGAAGAAGTGATACACAGGTAACCCATCACAGAACCTTGTGTCCAGACGATCCGATGCCAGGAATTGTGGAGCCATAGAGGCCCGAATTGATCTCCACGGGCGAAAAGGTACTAGAAAATTCGGTTCGGAATGGTACCATTGCCATTGTATAGATGTGCTAGCTCGATATGGTATGAGATGGTAGAATTCGACCACTTTTTGGCCCGGTAAGGCCGGATCCGTGGATGTCTCGGGAGCCCTGGAGACTTCGACCGTTGGTAAAGTAAAACTTTAATCTCAGTGGCAGAAAAGCTATTTGTCTTCGGATATGAGGATGTGCTCTTTCCTTACTGGGTAATCATTGTCTAGGAATATCTCCTCCGACATAGAATTTTGGGACTCTAGACCCAATCGACCAGGATTGGCGCATTGAACATGGCATATGGGTCCATCGGGCGCGTCGCATCCTAAGATCCTGGAGCAACAAGCATATGGGGCTGAGGCAGCAAGACAAGGGGGATAACAGTCTAGAATGACACTCATTTTCGACCAATTATCTTTTTGGGGTTCGAATTTTCTGTTCTAAAAATTGTAAATACTCCAATATCGCGGTTAGGTCAGCAATCCCGACTCCGGGATGTGGTTATAGCTCTCTACCGTTGCCTAGGCCGAGCAGTAGCTTTGCCATGTCCAAAGATCGAACACCCGAATGTAACCAAACAATGAAGGGCATGGCATGGACTTTGCCATTGACGTGCAGCGAAGAACTGTTGCACGGGGAGATATTTTCGAGATGTCAACCATGCACAGACTCGGCAGATGGCACGTGCCCGAAACAGAGACAGGGTCTCCAGAGGCAGATTGGCTGAGACAATTGCAACGTCAAACTTTCAGAGTTTTCCAACTTGTAGGGTTCTGGGGCTAATCCTTGTCGATAGAACCCATGGATGGGTTCATGCATTTCCTTAAAGTCAAATTATTATTGGCATTGGCTTCAAGGTACCTGCAGTGATCCCTGAATGTACGCACGTATCGGACAATTTCTGACTCGTTTCTCTTCCGTATCTATAGTGTTGTACTCCTTGAGCAAGTAGAGTTGTGTTATCGAAAAGTGACATGGGGGTCCACGGGATGGATCTGATAGTGTCTTTTAGGTGCATTATTAGTACATGATAAATGATTTGACATGATTTAATTACAATCAGAGTCGGTGGCCTAACCTTAAAACTTTTACTAGTTTGAGATGAATGTTAGCTATAGATTTAAGCATCCACATGAAGATATACCTGAGATCCATGGATATTAGTAGGCGGATAATTAAGTACATGATACACATTTTATCCACCAGTCCAATGTTCATCGGACGTGCCTGGTACCTGCCCCTAATACATGTAAATTTGTCGTATCAAGTTCACCGCCCCCCTGCACGTGTCAAACCCCATGACCGTCACCCGGGAAGGGGTAGAACCCCGAGAGTCGAAGAGAAACCTGCCACCCACTTTTGACTGCGTGATTCAAAGTTAGTATCGTTGATCGGTACTTTCTTATCCTGATATGGTTAATCAACCCTGCACCTAGTACCAATTTCGGTACCAGCACGATCGTTGTGTGTGGCCTGTGGGGCGAATAGCTGCACAACATACCCGCCATAACCACTGCGGAAATCGACACTCCTACTTTATGTATCCAGCCAATCATAAGCCCGCGGGTGCCTTTTCACTGCACCTTGCCATTGCACCAGCCTGCTGCAGGATGGTCGATCTTCTAGCCACTAAGTTCTGTCGACCCGATCAGAACGGGTCCACTCATGGAGGGATCTTTTGAAGCTATGACTCCAGTATGACTCCGGTCCTCTGGATATTTGCTTCGACGGAAGGGTGGGACTAGTGCCGCTGGGTTCTGGAAAAGGCTCCCGGGTACGGACCGGAACCATTGTATTCCCCACTGAGCTGCTTTAGCCTCTCTAGTGGAGATTGGAGACCCCATCTGTAGCTAGGGCACCATGGTTCCGCGCCAGAAGAAAAGTCGGGCTTACCAGAGAGCTTATCCGGTTCTCTTTCGGAGTGGAGTGGATCTAGCTGGGGATGCATCATCTCGAACGTGATTTTTTTTATTGCTCTCACGAGTCAGTTCTGTCGGTGTGAGCACCGCCATCACGGACAATGCAGCATGCTAAATTGAACTTGTCGATCGTCTGATCATCCACTTTCTTCATGCACGAACCGCTGCTGGTGCCTCGAGCCTCCTACGGCTTAAAGGACGGGGTACTCCGACTGACGTTCCAACAAAACATGACAGAATTTGGTCAAGTCTTTCTACCCGATTTGGTCATTTCCAATATTTAATTTGCCCTTTTTTTGCCATTGGTCTGTGGTCCCCCAAGTCTGATACATCAACCACCGCTGTCATGGTCTGCACAGGTACATCTCCTGGGGGTCGATCATCTCCTCTATCCTTTCTAGTTTCATCTTATTTCGCTCTCCTGCAGCAACCCGTCTGTCGGGTATTCGCACTAGGACATCTGATCCCATCGGGAATTATAAGTACTGAAAAACATACAACGTGTACTTACCGTGCCTTTACCCACGGTCCGTGCAGCCGGCATCGGGTCCTTCTAGCACGTAACATGGGGTGTTCTGACCAATGCCATACTCCTCAAACAATCAGACTGTCTGGAGCCGGTAATGATCTGATGCTACTCTCTTTACCATGGAAATACCCACCTAGACCATTTGTGCTTGACCGGAAACAAAATTCCAAATTCAGAACTTCAAAATACAAATCATTGAGAAAAAGAAAATAAACAAAAATTCTTATTTTCTTTTTTTTACCCCAAAGAGCTCGTAAACAGCAAATGATTATCCGGATATCTTTCGCCGATTATGGTTGGACCCCTATGCAAACTCACTGCTCCCACTCATTGGAGCCTTACTGAATACAACGTATTTAACTGTCCCTGGCAGATTCTAACTCGTGGGTATGGTCGCCTCTCGGCTCGACCCTCACTGGTGATCCCTATGGGAGCCTTACCAGGGTATTGGTAGGCTAATGAACCTTTCTCAATGAGCAGGTAACAATCCCGAGAACGGCTTTAGACAATATTATGGGCCGGACTTCGTTCGATACTACTAGACGATATCAATTGCAACCTTTCTCTTATTTCCGAGGAAAAGCTCAATCGCATAGGTACCACATCTGATCTTAATACCTCGCATTTTATCCAACTACTTCCCTATTTATCAGGTAAGCCACAGATATACTTTCTGCAACCTGTCAAAAGAAATGATTCCTCAAGATCTACTGTGATTTGACCCTGATCTTTAAATGCCAAGTTAGAGTTGCAGAATTAGAAGCATTCTTCTTTCTGCAATACCAAAATACTTACCTATTGGTGCCGGGACAAGAGCTTTTTATTTGCTCACTTCCCCAGGGCTGTCACACCAGATTACATCAGTGTCTTTTCCTTTCCCCTTTGGATCTTTTTTAATTTTAATTTTATTAGTTTTTCGTTTTGCCCCTCCGTTAACTGTGATTGCTATTATTGCTATTATTGTGATTTTTGGTTTTTTTGTTGAATTTTTGGCGAATTCTTTTCTTTGCCCCGGTCTTCTTCCTTCATACCCACCTCTCTCCCCTCTTAGATCGTGGTTTGCAAAGAACATAGATTCTGGCCCGATCTATTCCAACACTCTTTGTACTTTTGTACCTATGACTTAAGTTAATGGGGCATTTCCCAATTAGGAAGTCATGTCTATAAATCAGTGACGCACTCCTTTGGCTCCCGGACATTCACCAACTTGTTCTTGTCAACGTCAAAAAGACCACCGTTTTACGCGCCGTTTTACTGAGCATACTACATATGTATTACTCTTCACGCTCATCTTTATAACCCTGAAGACCTTTCCTATCTTCATTTATACTTCTCTGCTCTTTATCACCCACCTGTCTACGCCCTTCCAAGCTTTATCACTTGCCTTCCCCGAACTACTTCTTACCGTGAGGATTGTGTTTTGGTCTATATCCAAAACTAAGAGCTGTATTGCATTTTTCCTGTGATTTTCATAGGGTCAAATTGCCAGAGGTATCAATCGAGTACTGTGAGGGAATTTGACTATGCAGAGTTCTTTCGACCTTACCTAACCTTTGCTGCTATTCTAGACATTGACTTCTTGAGTTCTTGCCACCCAAGACCTCAAGGGCCAGACATATTTGGCGTCTCGCCCGGTGTTACATCAATTAACCAAGAACTTCAGGGCCCTCGAGGCACCTGGCATCAGCACGCTCAGGATGAATCCCTGTAAGCTTCGCTCTCTTTTCATTCCCTGTTCTTTTCGTCATGCGCTTGATTCGACATTCTTTCCTGGCGCCTATGTCTTTTTTTCTTTTTCTATTTTTTCCCATATATCTTCCCTGTCTCTAACCTATGAATTCCCCAGCACTCCTCTCGGAGGTATTCTCATTGAACGACTCCGTTACTTCGGAGGGTGACTATATGAACTCTCATGTGACAGGGTTTGTAACGGACGAAGACGACAGTCAGCGAGTCGGAGGTCTCGTCTCCATGCCTGACACCAACGGCGTGAGGTACCACGCACAGCAGCCTGTGATGCAGGATTTACAGTAAGTTATTTTCCATTCTTTCAATCCGGACTTGCCCTTGCGCTCCACTCGGTCAGCCTCTCGACCCCCTTGTCGCTGCGCTTCCTCCGGGTCCGGGCAGCTTGAACTTCAGTCCAGCCTGTTTCTGTACCTTTCCAATCTGCTGCCTGCATGACTTTCTTCCGATGTTTTGTCCTTTTTATCTGAGCTCGTGCCGTTGACGTCCTGGCCTCTTTCGCTCCCGTCTCGATTGTCTTTTTACGCATCATGGTTTCCGTGCTGCGCCCGGACTCATATGATATATTCTGGACTGTTTTAATTCCAGGTGATCGCACGTGGATTTCCCATGAGCTTTTACTGAGTTCCTTACTTTAGATATTCTGGTTCGAGTGCTCTTGCAATGACTCCACCAGACTCTTGTCCCGGTAAGCTTTCTTATGCTTATAACTCCCCGAAAGAACTTCCTTTGACTGATACATTGTGGTGTTGTAAAGACTCATTTTCGCCCACATCTGGTCCCCTCTTCCCTCATATCTCTCGGCTTCAGCATCCCTTCGATAGGATGGCAGACTATCAGCGGGTGCCAGCGCTGTAAGCTTTGCTCTACTATAAACGGTGGATGAGGTTTAGTACTGATCTTTGTTCGTCTAGTCAACCGCCGACTGGAATGCCTACCGGTATGCAGAGTTCAGGGCATGCCTTGAACTCCATTCCAGCACTCATGGGACGCAATAATTCCTACGGTTCATACGCTTTACAGCGCGGAATCGGAAATATCGGCTTGCCTTTGGGGATGAACGATCTCTCCCGTAGCCATGGGTATCCGGGCACTCCTCGCGCTTTAGATAGCGGGATGGATCGCTCTCAGAATAATTTGTATCAGCAACCGATAGTGGAGTCCTCACAACGCTCACAGCCTCAGGTTGAGGCTCCTCCTTTCGATGACACGACTATTCTTCATACAATTGTTGCAGAGTTTGGTGGTCAATATCAGACAGTGAAACCAGATGTCCAAGCAAAAATGGGACGAGGCCCTTTTCCGGCTGAGGGCAAGTGGACTTGCTATCGCCGCAACTACTTCGCAGTGACCTGCGGCTTTGGACTTAATCCGTGGCCTCCCACTGCTCCTCTATACATCCGCTATCCTGACCAGACCCTTGAACCAATCCGTGGATTTTCAATGGCGATTTCTGCTATTGTGAACGGTCAATATGGAGAAACTCGAGAACTCGTCCAACACACCCCGAAGCGAGACAAGCAATCCGAACGCAAACCAGGTCGTATCGTTCTTCAACCTGCACCTCCACCCTCATTCACGGCAACATCGACGGTTAATGGAAATCTTTCGGGGTTCCCCCTTGGCTCGCAATCTATGGACTACAACCCTTCCTTCGCAGGGACACCTCAGCCGTGCCAGCCCCCAACGTCTCACGTGTTCGAACGTATTCAATTCCAGAAAGCGACCGCCAACAACGGCAAGCGCCGCGCCCAGCAACAATATTACAATCTGGTCGTCGAACTGTACGCTGAGGTCGGTAGCTCGGTCCCAGGTGAAACTGAGTGGATACAAATCGCCCGACGCCATTCCCACCCCCTGGTCGTCCGCGGACGTTCACCCGGTCACTACAAGGATGGACGCCGTGGCAGTACTGGTAGTATGGGACCGGATGGGGCCGGCGGAGACAGCTGTGGTGTCATTCCTCATGGACTGGGCCAAACGGGTCGTTCACACATGCTCATGTACGACGCGTCTCATCGAAGTGGTCTTTCTTACGGCAGATCCGACAACCGGAAAATGAATGTTACAGACCATTCCCCGCTCAGCGACAGTCCTCTTATCTCCTCTTCTTCTTCTTCTGGGTTCGAGTACTCGATGATTGACACTATGGATCCCATGGACACAATCAAGTCCGACCTTTACCTCAAATCAGACCCTTATCAGGATAATACCTATACAGGGGTTCCCAGCCACCAACACCGTCAGTCTAGTACTGGTGGATATGACCCCGTTTACTCGACAACTTATAGCCGTTACGATCCCATCCAGAATTCGCATAGTTTATGCACTTAGGCTGTGCCTTTTGTTTTGTCCTTGGCTTATTTGCTTTCCTTTGTTTCTTCTCGTGTTTTATCTTTTTATCTTGCTATGATCGAATGGGAAGGGTTTATGCACTGGTGCAGGACGGCGCGCGGGATCATGAGGCCATTTCTATTCACTGTTCCATTTTTTATTTTTTATCATCGGATTGCTAGTGGACTTGGTGGCATTGATTTATTTCATTGTGATCTATTATTTATCCATTTTGACTCGCTTCCTCAAATTCTTACTTGAGATATCGTCCCATTTCTATTATGTGTGTCTGCCTTTGAAAAAGAAGCATACAGAATGCCATTAAAGACTGTCTTCAGCAAATGACGGAATGTCCTATCGAATAGAGCGGATTTAATTAAGATCTGGACTTGACTAGATCATAGCATCTCGATAATGATAGTCGAATTGGCATTGTTGTCTGAGTTTGATACAAGGGCCATATCATAATTAAGCCAAATATAGTATGACAACCTCACCGAAAATCAAATCTTCCAGAAACTAATCAAAAATCCCTCCAATCCACACCTAGGACCCAGTCTAACATTAAAACTCCCCGATTTGCTGTGTTCGATAGCCAGGAACCGTTATTTGCTGCGGTCCTGGTCCTAGACTTCATCTATTGCAGGGCTACCAGTCCCGTTTGCAATGGATATGGACTTATGCGGTCTTTGCCTTATTTTGCTTTTCCATTTTTATTTTCTTTTACCTTCTTCGTCCAATCAAACATGAAGCAAGGACCGGTAATTTGCCAGGACTCTTTTCGTGTCTGATGACTACATAGACTGATGCCTCCGTAGTAAGCAACATGGGTTGCCCGGCTGCGGGAATGATTGGATTGAGTTCATTAAAAGTACATGCAAGATTAAAGGGCTTAGTGTCTATTAATGATGTGTTTTACTTAGTTTCTTATTCCATTTTGCTTTTTGGAGAGGCTCCGTCTTGAAACCGAAGCAAGGTTACTATTTCCGTATTGTGTACGGAGCACTCGCAGAGAGAAACGGTAACATGCAGAATGGATCAAGAGATTAGAGCCAATCAGGGTGAATTGAGCAGCAGCCTGTTTGTAGAGTTTAGAGGCTAAGGTTGATATTTTGCTTTCTTGCTAGGCAGCAGAGATTGTCTTATAAGACAAAGTAATATAAATGATTTAAGTTTAACTTTTAATATGAATATCATACATGATACTGTTGGATGTATTAGTATTAAATGTAAGAAATGTAAGAAATGTAAGAAATCGTTAGATGCAGATCCTGATCGACGGTAGTGCAGGTCATGCTCTTCATTACAATGTACATCGATGTACATGTCAGCTCAGCCCTGTTTAGCTATGATAAAATTCAGATAATTCTCAATCTAAGTGTATCAGGTGAAACAGGTTTTGGTGTGACTATTTGATCTTTATGCTTGGTAAAGAGTAAAATATATTGATCCAATCTCTCCAATTGCCTAGGAAAACCTGCTCATGTGTCAAGTTAAATTATTTAAGAGATCGTATCATCCAAGTCTCCCTGCACCTCGGCATATTCCGATGTTCTAAACACTGATCCCTGTCAATAACATCCCCTGTGGAGCGCCGGGGTAGTAACCTTACGTCCGTATGCGGTAAGAGATTTGAGAGATATACGGAGTATGTGGAGTAGGTGGACTAGGTGGATCAGACAAAAAAGGTTTTTATTGTTAGAACCAGACTATTTTTGACTTTAATCCGAAACAATTTCAAGTCCGGCTTGTTCTAAGTTCCGTTGGTATACGTTTGCCACCGGATCCATATACATATCCCATCCCGAAAAGAAAGTAAATAAAGAATTTTGTATTCTCACTGAGAAAAAGCTCAGATAGTTGGGTTAGATCCAATATCATTGGTGGCTTACTTCTAACCGGTTGGATAGGTACTTCTGCACGTTGTACAAGGGAAGTCAGGCAAAAGGACAATCCTAGGCGCTTTGGGGTTTCTTATTTCTTATTCAACATCTTGGATTGACATGCCTAATCTGGTCTTCAGTCATGCTGGGCAATTTGATATACTTGGGATGTTGCCACTCTTTCATACTTCATTGGTATTTCCACATGCAGTCTACAGTATATGTACCCTGGTCTACATAGTACTCCCTTATTTTACTCTCTTTTGCGAGGATTAAACACATTGACTCAAAAGGCCTCTACTTCATTACTCATCTATTAGAATGCAGCCAATACCGTGCTATAGCCGATCGCTGTACTTGCTACATACGTATCATTACGGTAAAGTAATTTCATTGTCCTGTCGGCTCCTGCTCCTACGCAGATAATCTACAATCTACTTAGATACCGAATACAAAATATGGCTCAGTTTAGTTTGTTCAAGGGAATGTTTTCAAGGAGTTCAAATCCCGGGTTATCCTTGCGGCGCCTGCCGCTGCCGCTGCGCCCTCAGCAACTCCCTGCGTCTCTACCCTTCCCATGGAATTAGCGTATTCTCTAGAGAAGCGCAGGTCAAAGTGACATTGATCGCGAAGGGAGGATTTTTTAGTGCATACAAGCCCTTTCCTTGCGTATCTCCTCTAGCTTCATTTCACCGAGTACTAAGGCCTATAATGTACTTCTTTGGCTTTCTGTCGCTTTTCACTCTCAATCTTCTTTTCTGGCAATTCAGCAATATTAACCATTACTGGCTTAGAGTCCCAGATATCTCCATGCGAATGGGCCAGTATATTCTAGTAGCTACCAGACGCTGAGAAATGCAGTTTGTATCTCAAGCATGAATAGCGAGGGGACCTGTGATATAGTAGCAAGGCACAAGCCTGAAGTAATCGACCCTGGGTTGTCAGTACGACGATAATCAACCCTAACCGTCTTCAAGCCAAGACGCCCAGAAGATAATCTGTGTTTCTAGTAATTCACATTTAGCCCAATTAACCCGAGTAAGATATCTGTCTCTGACATCTCTGCATAAACATCTCCACGATCTATTCTTTGCTGCCACACTAGACCGAATAACCCTCTCTATGACATGGCTACTCAGATGGCAACCTCGCTGCTGTCTTGGGCGCATTACGAGCTAGGGAGCTAGCTTCTATGTATAGTTGTCTCTGTTCTAATGCACCTGGCTCTTGCTTCCACACTAAGGTATGGATCAGTCTAACTGTCTACCTCGGGGCCTTTCAATGCTGTCAGCCATCCAGGGAGGATGGTGTCTATATCCGTGTTCCACCTCAACGGCTCCGAGCATGGTGCTAGTTTTGTCTTACCCGGAATAAAAAAGCACATGACCGGTCTATTGATCTGTGTGATGTAATATTTTAAACAAAAGAGCTTTGTCGGGCAGATATAAGTATGAATGATATCATGGCATCTATGAATAGAACAAAAGTAGAATCAATCTATCAAGACTGGCATGACGAAGAGTCCATGTGGATCAAATCCCTGATTTACACCAATTGATGAGCGTCGATCTTTGGGATGCACGAGATATCTTCAAGGATGAAAGGGTCCCTCGTGCTACACTGCGAGTGATATCATAAACCTAAGTTCCGAAACGATACTTTTAGAGCCGCACCACAATTATATGCCCATTTTGGGCCTTCTTCCTTCGAAGACCTTAAGTATAAGGTGCTGTGGTAAGACTGTTTCACATTACCTTGGAAGAATATGACTTCTGGAAGTCGTAAAGACGTCCCATTTATCATCCAGTATTCTGTGGTATAGATAATGCGATATCATGCATCAATTCAAATACTCGAGATGACTAGTAGAAGCTAACCTAGACATACATATTCCAAATAACCCTTAGGCTATGCCCCATGATCAAAAGGTACAAAAGCAGGACGCCCCAACGTCTCAAAGAATCAGTGCCAAAGCCTAATCCCAACTAGACCAACTGCCCCTCGCATCACTTTCCAAATTGGACAAAACAGAAAGGTCGGAAATTAAAATCGACTTCTATTGGCCCCTCGCCAC